AATATTCTTGGTTATACAGCTGTGTGGAAGGGCCTCAAAATATAGAAACCTGGGATTTGTAGTTTGACGACAAACTCAGAATTCACTCTTAGAGAAGGCTTTCATGGCCGGAATCACTGGGTTGTTGTATGTTTTTCTGGGTTATATGGCCTTGTTCTAGAGGCATTTTCTCCTGACATTTCGCCTGCATCTATGGCAAGCATCCTCCTTGCCATAGACGCATAGATGAGAATGCTTGCCATAGATGCAGGCGAAACGTCAGGAGAAAATGCCTCTAGAACATGGCCACATAACCCAGAAAAACCTACAACAACCCACTCTTAGAGAGATTGAAAAGTTTCAGGGGAGTTTGTTAAAGTTCTACAGCAGAGAAGTCTAAATGCCTTGCCGAACTATGAATCCCAGAATTATATAGGACAAAGCTATTAAAATTGAGACACAAGCTCCTTCAACACTGCCATATAATTTGAATTATCAAAGCAGATGCACCCATAGTGCAAAATTCAAATCTCTACACCACATTGTGGCCCCTTCTACACAGCTGTATCAAGTCCACATTATCTCCTTTGAACTGGATTATATGACAGTGTAGACTCATATAATCCAGTTCACAGGAGATAATGTGGATTTGATACAAATGTGTATAAGGGCCACAGTGTAGTGTAGAGGTTTGAATGTTGCACTATGGGTGCATCTACACTGTAGAATGAATGCAGTTTGACACCACTCTAACTGCCATGGCTAAATGATAAGGAATCCTGGGACTTATAGTTTGGTGAGGCATCAGCCCTCTTTGACAGAGAAGGCTAAAGACCTTGCAAAACTACAACTCCGAGATTTTTTTAATATTACAAGGTCTTTAGCCTTTTCTGCCAAAGAGTGCTAGTACAGCATCAAACTACACATCTCATGTGTTCATAGCACTGAGCCAGCACAGTGGAAGTGGTGTCAAACTGGATTCATTCTACAGCGTAAAGGGATTCTTTCCACACAGCCATATAACCCAAAATATCAAGGCAAAAAATCCCACAATAGGGTTGTTGTAGGTTTCTCGGGCTATATGGCTATGTTCTAGAAGCATTCTCTCCTGACGTTTCACCTGCATCTATGGTAAGCATCCTCAGAGGTTGTGAGGTCTGACCTCACAACCTGAGGATGCTTGCCATAGATGCAGGCAAAATGTCAGGAGATAATGCTTCTAGAACATGGCCATATAGCCTGAAAAATGTCAGGAGAGAATGCTTCCAGAACATGGCCATATAGCCTGAAAAACCTACAACAATCCAGTGATTCCAGCCATGAAAGCCTTCAACAATAAATCCCACAATATCTGCTTTGAACTGACTTATCTGAGTCCACACTTCCATATATTCCAGTTCAAAGCAGATAATGTGGGATTTTATTCAGCTGTGTGGATGGGGCCTTGCATTCTTAAAAAAGGGCACCTTTTGAAGAAGTGATGGCTGAAAGAAGGCATCTGAAACTTGAAATTTATGAGTAATTTGGAAACTTGAGGTAAGAGGACATTTGACTCACAAACTGGCTGAAATCTGGGTCTTTTGCTAACTGTAGCCCTGTTTTAGATATGATGCATTCTTATTTCTAAACCCACTTCCTCTTCAGACATTCTGCAATTGTTTACCTACTCTCAGTTTCCTCTGCTTCGGGTAGCAAATCTCAATATTAATAGCATTTTCACATACACTACTTAAACTCAGGGTGAATCCACTATAAAACTAAAATTATTATCATTACTACTACTATCATCATCATCATCGGGTTGTTGTGTGTTTTCCAGACTGTACAGCCATGTTCCAGAAGCATTCTCTCCTGACGTTTTGCTTGCATTTATACACATAATAATAACAACAATAATAATAATAGTGTCAAAAACTTTCATGACTGGAATCACTGGGTTGCTGTGAGTTTTCTGGACTGTATGGCCATGTTCCAGAAGCATTCTCTCCTGACGTTTTGCCTGCATTTATACACATAATAATAACAATAATAATAATAATAATAGTGTCAAAAACTTTCATGGCTGGAATCACTGGGTTGCTGTGAGTTTTCTGGACTGTATGGCCATGTTCCAGAAGCATTCTCTCCTTTTGCCTACATTTATACCCATAATAATAACAATAATAATAATAGTGTGGAAAGCTTTCATGGACAGAATCACTGGGTTGCTGTGAGTTTTCTGGACTGTATGGCCATGTTCCAGAAGCATTCTCTCCTGACGTTTTGCCTAAATTTATACACATAATAATAATAATAATAATAATAATAATAATAATAGTGTCGAAGACTTTCATGGCCAAAATCACTGGGTTGCTGTGAGTTTTATGGACTGTATGGCCATGTTCCAGAAGCATTCTCTTCTGACGTTTTGCCTGCATTTATACACATAATAATAACAATAATAATAATAGCGTCGAAGACTTTCATGGCCGGAATCACTGGGTTGCTGTGAGTTTTTTGGACTGTATGGCCATGTTCCAGAAGCATTCTCTCCTGGTGTATCACTCACATCTATGGCAGGCATCCTCAAAGGTTTTGAGGTCTGTCGGAGACGTGCCATAGATGTGGGCAAAATATCAGGGGAGTGTGCTTCTGGAACATGGCCATACAGCCTGGAAAACACACAACAATCCAGTGATTTTGGACATGAAAGCCTTCGACAATGCATTATTATTATTATTATTATTATTATTATTATTAGCATGATGATGATTGGGTTGCTGTGAGTTTTCTGGGCTGTATGGCCATGTTCCAGAAGCATTATCTCCTGATGTTTCGCCCACATCTATGGCAGACATCCAATGGACCTCACAACCTCCAAGAATGCCTGCCATAGGATGTGGGTGATATGTCAGGAGAGAATGCTTCTGGAACATGGCCATACAGTCCAGAAAACTCACAGCAACCCAGTGATTCCAACCATGAAAGCCTTCAACACTATTATTGTTGTTGTTGTTATTATTGTTATTATGTGTATTTATTCACCACTTTCTCTCTCCACAAGAGACTCAAAGATGCTTACAGTAAAACCGAATGAAATATAAAATCTAAATGTATACAAACATTAAAATAGAATTAAATGTTAATTGTATTAAAAAGTAAACAAATGTATTCAAAGCAAAAACTCTTTGATATCACATTCATTGCCATGGGGCAGGAATCCTGGGAGTTATAGTTTGATGAGGCACCAAAACTCTTTGGCAAAGATGGGTAAAGATGTTGCAAAACTACAACTCCCAAGATTCCTCATCATAGAGCCATGGAAATTAAAGTGATGTCAAACGGTATTCATTCTATAGTGTAGATCAGGCATGGGCAAACTTCGGCCCTCCAAGTGTTTTGGACTGCAACTCCCACAATTCCTAACACCTACCGGCTGTTAGGAATTGTGGGAGTTGTAGTCCAAAACACCTGGAAGGTCGAAGTTTGCCCATGCCTGGTGTAGATGCACCCAAGGAAAAAGAAGTGTGCCAGCCTACTTAATAAGATTATAAAGGAGATTATATAGCAATGTAGATGGGGCCTGAAAGTGGTTTGAATGTTGGATTATGACTATGCAAACTAGGATCTGAATCCTGCCTCTGCCTTGGGGCAAGTCACACTCTTTTAGGGCCCTATATATCCCAGGAACTGATCCCAGGAACTCTATTTATCCCAGATTATCTGGCAGTGGGGACTTATAAAATCCAGGTTAAAGCAGAAAACCTGGGATCAGATGCTGGGATGTATAGGGCCGGTCTGGAAGGGCATCTATAATGCAGAATTAATGCGGTTCGACACTACTTTGACTCCCATGGCTCAATATTATGGAATCCTGGGAGTTGTAGTTTAGTGAGGCCCCAGGACTCTTTGGCTAGATCTGCACTGCCATATATAACAGATTATCTGCCTGTCTGGAAGAGCATCTACACTGTAGAATTAATGCAGTTCGATATCACTTTGACTCCCATGGCTCAATATTATGGAATCCTGGGAGTTGTAGTTTAGTGAGGCCCCAAAACTCTTTGGCCGGATCTACACTGCCATATAAAACAGATTATCTGCTTTGAACTAGATTATATGAGTCCACACTGCCATATAATCCAGTTCAAATCGGATAATCCGGATTATATGTTTAGTGAGGCCCCAGCACACTTTGGCCATATAAAACAGACTATCTGCTTTGAACTAGATTATATGAGTCCACACTGCCATATAATCCAGTTCAAAGCAGATAATCCGGATCATATGTTAAGTGAGGCCACAGCACTCTTTGGCCGGATCTACACTGCCATATAAAACAGACTATCTGCTTTGACCTGGAATATATGAGTCCACACTGCCATATAATTCAGTTCAAATAGGATAATCCGTATTATATGTTAAGTGAGGTCCCAGCACTCTTTGGCCGGATCTGCACTACCATATAAAACAGACTATCTGCTTTGAACTGGATTACATGAGTCCACACTGCCATATAATGCAGTTCAAATAAGATAATCCGTATTATATGTTAAGTGAGGCCCCAGAGTTCTTTGGCCGGATCTACACTGCCATATAAAACTGAGTCCACACCACCATATAATCCAGTTCAAATCGGATAATCCGGATTATATGTTAAGTGAGGCCCCAGCACTCTGGCTGGATCTACACTGCCATATAAAACAGACTATCTGCTTTGAACTGGATTATATGAGTCCACACTGCCATATAATCCAGTTCAAATCGAATAATCCGGATTATATGTCTGAAGACCTCCATCATTTGGCAGAGAAGACTTGATGAAACTACAACTCCTAGGGTTCAAGACCACTGTGGCAGTTAAAGTGATATCAACCCGCTTTAATTCGACAGTGTAGATGAGTCTGCAGGGCCTTGAGGCGAGTCACACTCTCTCAGCCTCAGCCACGTGCAGGCAAAGGCCCCTCAAGGAAAAGATTAATTAAAAACAATAAGACAATAAAGGGAATATATGTATATAATGGGCTATATGATAGTCTCACCTCTCTTCCCGTTTGATGTCCATCTCGGATTCCCCGCAAGGTCGCTCTTTCTCTTTCGCCGGAGCTTTTTTCCTCGACTGAATCCGCACTTCTCGTCAGCCAGGCTAAGACCGGCCTTCTCAAAAGAGAGAACGTGACGTCACGGCCCCGGCGGCCAATGGGAGGGCTCCTTCTGCCGGCAACAAAGGTTGCCAAGGGCGACGCCGGGTTCTGTCGTCATGGCGGCGGGGACCGCTCTTGCCCGGCCCACTCCATTCATTACAGGGCTGTTCCCAGCACCTCCCACCGCGCTGTTCTGCCTGGGGGGGGAGAGGGGGGGGAAACAAAGGCAGAGGGAGGGTCACGTGCTCATAGGTCACGTGGGAAATACATCCTCTGTTCTGGACAAAGGATGGGTGGTCCAATCATCACAACGCTGGGTGTATAATATAGCATACTATTATATTATATTATATTATATTATATTATATTATACTATAATATAATATACTATACTATACTATACTATACTATACTATACTATATATTATATTATATTATATTATATTATATTATATTATATTATATTATATTATATTAGAATATATTAGAATATCTATATCTATATCTATATATATAATAAAGAAGAGTGTTTGTATCGGACAGAGGAATTGTGGAGGGAGGGCGGTGTATGTGGCAGCGTTCTGATTGGCTGCCGCTGTGGTGCTATTTGCATATGGTCTCTGATTGGCCAGCTTCAATAGGAGCCCCTGGTGGAGAAGAGGGTTCATGGCAGAAACGGGGCATGACAGAAGGAAATTTGCATATGGTCTCTGATTGGCCAGCCTCAAATCCAACATTCCGAGATGACAAAGAGAGGAAAGGAAAGGCCGGGGGCTGGGTCAGAACACTACCAATACAGACCGAAATAGGCACACAGAGCCCCATCACCCACTCTACATCCTACTGCAGTTTGGAGGAGTATGAACCATGGATGATGGGACTTGCAGTACCATCACTCACATTCTGAGACCGCTGTTAACCTCATCCAATGACTGATCAGGACCAAACTTGGCACATAGACCTCTCATGACCCACTTTATGCCTGGTGTGGTTTGGCCGGGGATGGATCAGGGATTATGGGACTTGCAGTACCTTTGCTCAATTCTTGAGACCACTGCAACCCTCATCCAATTACCGATAAAGACCAAACTTGGCACACTGAGTCTCCATGACTCACTCTACATCCTGGTGCAGTTTGGAGGAGGATGCACCATGGACGATGGGACTTGCAATACCTGCACTCCCTTCCTAAGACCATTACAACTGCCAACAATGATGGATCAGGACCACAATTCACACAGAGAGCCCGCATGACCCACTCTACATCCTGGTGCGGTTTGGAAGAATTTGGAGATGGATGATGGGACTTGCAGTACCTTCACTCACTTCCTGAGACCACTGAGACCCTCGCTAATGACTCATCAAGACTAAACTTGGCACATGGAGATTCAATGACCCACTCTACATCCTGGTGCAGTTTGGAGGACGACAGGCTATGGATGATGGGACTTCAAGTACCTCCACTACCCAAGACTGCTGCAAAACTCATCTAATGACCAATCAAGACCAAACTTGGCACACAGAGCCCCCATGACCCACTCTACATCCTAATATGGTTTGAAGTAGGGCATGCCATGGATGATGGGACTTGAAGTACCTCTACTCGCTTTCCGAGACTGCTGCAACCCTCAACAATGACTGAACAACACCAAACTTGGCACATCGACCTCTCATGACCCACTTTATGCCCTGGTGAGGTTTGACTGTGGATCGTGCATGGATTTTGGGACTTGCAGTACCTTCGCTCAATTCCTGAGACCACTGCAAAACATCATCCAATTTCCGATAAGGACCAAACTTGGCACACCGGGTCTCCATGATGCACTCTACATCCTGGTACGGTTTGGAGGATGATGCACCATGGACAATGGGACTTAGAGTACCTTCACTCAGTGAAACCACTGTCACTCATCCAAATACCAATAAAGACCAAACTTGGCACAGAGAGCCCCCATGGCCAACTCAACATTCTGGAGCAGTTTGGAGGACGACAGACCATGGATGATGGGACTTCAAGTACCTCCACCACCCAAGACTGCTGCAAAACTCATCTAATGACCAATCAAGACCAAAGTTGGCACACAGAGCCCCCATGACCCACTCTACATCCTGCTGCAGTTTGGAGGAGGGTGGACCATGGATGATGGGACTTGCAGTACCTTCACTCACTTCCTGAGACCACTGTCACTCATCCAAATACCAATAAAGACCAAACTTGGCACAGAGAGCCCCCATGGCCAACTCAACATTCTGGTCATGTTTGAGGGAGACTATGGATTATGGGACTTGCAGTACCTTCACCCATGTTCTGAGACTGCTGTGATCCTCATCCAATGACTGATCAAGACCAAACATAGCACACAGAGCCCCCATGACCCACTTTACGTCCTGCTGCAGTTTGAAAGGGGATGGACTTTGGGTGATGGGACTTGCAGTACCTTCACTCACTTACTGACACCACTGCCACCCTCATCTAATGACTGATAAAGACCAAACTTGGCACACAGAGGCCCCATGACCCACTCTATATCCTGCTGCTGTTTGTAGGAGGATGGGCCATGGATGATGGGACTTCAAGTACCTTCACTCACTTCCTGAAAACAATGCAGCCATTATCCAATGACCAATAAAGACCAAACTTGGCATACAGAACCGCCATTACCCACTTTCTCTAATAACCCGGGCAGCGCCGGGTCCCCAAGCTAGTATATAATAAAGAAGAGTGTTTGTATCGGACAGAGGAATTGTGGAGGGCGGTGTATGTGGCAGCGTTCTGATTGGCTGCCGCTGTGGTGCTATTTGCATATGGTCTCTGATTGGCCAGCTTCAATAGGAGCCCCTGGTGGAGAAGAGGGTTCATGGCAGAAACGGGGCATGACAGAAGGAAATTTGCATATGGTCTCTGATTGGCCAGCCTCAAATCCAACATTCCGAGATGACAAAGAGAGGAAAGGAAAGGCCGGGGCCTGGGTCAGAACACTCCCAATACAGATCGAAATAGGCACACAGAGCCCCCATCACCCACTCTACATCCTACTGCAGTTTGGAGGACTATGAACCATGGATGATGGGACTTGCAGTACCACCACTCACATTCTGAGACCGCTCTCAACCTTATCCAATGACTGATCAGGACCAAACTTCGCACAGAGACCTCTCATGACCCACTTTACGTCCTGGTGTGGTTTGGCCGGGGATGGACCGTGGATTATGGGACTTGCAGTACCATTGCTCAATTCTTCAGACCACTGCAACCCTCATCCAATTACCAATACCAAACTTGGCACACTGAGTCTCCATGACGCACTCTACATCCAGGTGCAGTTTGAAGGAGGATGCACCATGGACGATGGGACTTGCAATACCTGCACTCCCTTCCTAAGACCATTATAAGTGCCAACAATGATGGATCAGGACCACAATTTACACAGAGAGTCCGCATAACTCACTCTACATCCTGGTGCGGTTTGGAAGAATTTGACAATGGATGATGGGACTTGCAGTCACTTCACTCACTTCCTGAGACCACTGAGACCCACGCCAATGACTCATCAAGACTAAACTTGGCACATGGAGCTTCAATGACCCACTCTACATCCTGGAGCAGTTTGGAGGACGACAGACCATGGATGATAGGACTTCAAGTACCTCCACTACCCAAGACTGCTGCAACCCTCATCTAATTTCCGAACAAAACCAAACTTGGCACACAGAGCCCCCATGACCCACTCTACATCCTACTGCGGTTTGGAGTAGGGCATACCATGGATGATGGGACTTGAAGTACCTCTACTCGCTTTCCGAGACTGCTGCGACCCTCAACAATGACTGAACAACACCAAACTTGGCACATAGACCTCTCATGACCCACTTTATGCCCTGGTGAGGGTTTGGCAGGGGATGGACCATGGATTATGGGACTTGCAGTACCTTCGCTCAATTTGTGAGACCAAGGCAACCCTCATCCAATTACCAACAAAGACCAAACGTGGCACACTGAGTCTCCATGATGCACTCTACATCCTGGTATGGTTTGGAGGATGATGCACCATGGACAATGGGACTTAGAGTACCTTCACTCAGTGAAACCACTGAGACCCTCATCCAATGACTGATGAAGACCAAACTTGGCACACAGAGCCCCCATGGCCAACTCAACATTCTGGTGAGGTTTGGGAGAGAACAGACTATGGATGATGGGACTTCAAGTACCTCCACTCACTTCCCAAGACTGGTGCAACCCTCAAATGACCAATCAAGACCAAACTTGGCACACAGAGCCCCCATGACCCACTCTACATCCTGCTGCAGTTTGGAGGAGGACGGACAATGGATGATGGGACTTGCAGTACCTTCACTCACTTCCTGAAACCACAGTGACACTCATCCAAATACCAAGAAAGACCAAACTTGGCACAGAGAGCCCCCCTGGCCAACTCAACATTCTGGTGAGGGTTGGGGGAGAACAGACTATGGATGATGGGTGCAGTACCTTCACCAACTTCCTGAGACACTGCAACCCTCTTCCAATGACCAATCAAGACCACACTTGGCACACAGAGCCCCCATGATCCACTCTACATCCTGCTGCAGTTTGAAAGGGGATGGACTTTGGATGATGGGACTTGCAGTACCTTCACTCATTTACTGACACCACTGCCACCCTCATCTAATGACTGATAAAGACCAAACTTGGCACAAAGAGCCCCCATGACCCACTCTATATCCTGCTGCTGTTTGTAGGAGGATGGGCCATGGATGATGGGACTTCAAGTACCTTCACTCACTTCCTGAAAATAATGCAGCCGTTATCCAAAGACCAATAAAGACCAACCTTGGCATACAGAACCACCATTACCCACTTTCTCTAATAACCCGGGCAACGCCGGGTCCCCAAGCTAGTATTATATATGAATATAAA